TTATTTAGGTACACGTGCACATAAGTACAATTATTGTACACAGCAACATATGCGCAATAATAACCGATATGGAGACAAACTCACAAGATTAAATGATCTGTACATTTCGACCCCCTCTGGGATCACCTTCAGCATTGACAAATGCTCGTTATACTAGTCATTCATAGTGACATGTGTAAATTACCCAGGATAACCCGAAAAAGCCACAAAGTGACTTATCAGTCCTAATTAGGACTGATGAAGCCACTCGTGGTGAAACGTTGCCTTTAATAAATGCTCTGAACTGTACACGAGTGTCATTTTCCGCACACCTGGGATTAACAATGGTAACAGTGCACTCGTTAATCGAAGGGGAAGGGACTATGCACTCGTTAACCGAGGAAGGACACCATGAACTCTGTGGAGTGAACCATGCACTCGTTAACCGAGTGAGGGACCATGTACTGATTTACCAAGTGGTGGGACACCATGAACTCAACCAAGTGGGGGACCATGCACTTATTTACCGAGTGGGGGGACCATGAACTCAACCGAGGGGGCCATGCACTCATTAACCGCGTGGGGGAGGATGAACCCATTAACAGGAGGGGAACCATGCACTAAATAAGAGATGAACTATGTATTCACGCCAGGATTGACGTAAGGAGAGCAAAAGAGACGAATGTCTTAAAATCGGGTTCTCGGTGATATCATGGCACACACCGTTGCCAGGTCTTGTTTCTATAACTACACATTATGTCCTGATTACGACAATTCAAAATAAATTCTTTCAATGTAATATTTTTAACAGTGGTGGGCCGGACAGAATTCTTTATTGGGTTGGATTCAGCCAGCGGCCATTATTTTCCACACCCATGGTGTAAGATCCGCATTAATGTAGTGGAAATTGTACAATGATAATAATAATCTTTATTTCTACAAGTACACGTACAATGTATACAGACCATAGCTGACATCAATAACATTCTACTACTACGCAGAGCATTTCCCGCAGCTTGGGTCAATTTTGTCCCCAGGATGCGACCCACACCAGTCGACTAACACCCAGGTACCTATTTTAATGATAGGTGAACAGGGACAGCAGGTATCTTAAGGAAATGCGTCCTAATGTTTCCACCCAAATCGGGAATCAAACCTCAGACTTCAGTGTGCGAGCTGAGTGCGCTAGCAGTTTGTACCTCCACCTCCCATCATGGGGATACTACCTCCGTCACCCACCTCCACCACCCACCATGGGAACTGCTTCCTCCAACACCGGTTTTTACAGGGTTATACTTTTCTTGAGTCAACTTTCAATTTCTTTCAGGCCCCGAGGGACCAGACGCAGCGGAAGAAAGCGGTGGTGATGCTGGCTTTCATCTCCTAGTAGCTGTCTGCCATCTTGTGTTTTCACTATCACCTCAACGCCAGATGTGTATGTACTCACCTAGTTGTGGTTGCAGGGGTCGATTCACAGCTCCTAGCCCCACCAGTGTGTGTGTGTGTATGAAGTTGTCTGAAGATTGAGACACTTATGCAGCATATCGAAATCTTTATTCAGGAAACGTTAGACACATGAAGTTGTCTAACATCTGAAAGTGTGAGTGTGGAGATCTAACATCTGCATGTGTGGGTTCTCCAAACATCTGCACGTGTGGGGTCTCCAAACATCTGCACGTGTGGGGTCTCCAAACATCTGCACGAGTGGGGTCTCCAAACATCTGCACGAGTGGGGTCTCCAAACTTCTGCACGAGTGGGGGTCTCCAAACATCTGCACGTGTGGGGTCTCCAAACATCTGCACGTGTGGGATCTCCAAACATCTGCACGTGTGGGGTCTCCAAACATCTGCACGAGTGGGGTCTCCAAACACCTGCACGTGTGGGGTCTCCAAACATCTGCACGTGTGGGGTCTCCAACCATCTGCACGTGTGAGGTCTCCAAACATCTGCACGAGTGGGGTCTCCAAACATCTGCATGAGTGGGGTTCCAAACATCTGCACGTGTGGGGTCTCCAAACATCTGCACGTGTGGGGTCTCCAAACATCTGCACGTGTGAGGTCTCCAAACATCTGCACGTGTGAGGTCTCCAAACATCTGCACGAGTGGGGTCTCCAAACATCTGCATGAGTGGGGTTCCAAACATCTGCACGTGTGGGGTCTCCAAACATCTGCACGTGTGGGGTCTCCAAACATCTGCACGAGTGGGGTCTCCAAACATCTGCATGAGTGGGGTTCCAAACATCTGCACGTGTGGGGTCTCCAAACATCTGCACGTGTGGGGTCTCCAAACATCTGCACGTGTGGGGGTCTCCAAACATCTGCACGAGTGGGGTCTCCAAACATCTGCATGAGTGGGGTTCCAAACATCTGCACGTGTGGGGTCTCCAAACATCTGCACATGTGGGGTCTCCAAACATCTGCACGTGTGGGGTCTCCAAACATCTGCACGTGTGGGGGTCTCCAAACATCTGCACGTGGGGGTCTCCAAACATTTGCATGTGCGGAGCTTCCAAACAACTAACACGTAGACGTGCGGGGTCTAACATGCAGGTGTGTGAGGGGGTTCACCTAACATACAAGTGTGGGGGTTTGAATAAACACAAGCACCAATACAGACTTTAAGTTCCCATCTGCGAAGAAAATTCATATTACTCTGTAGAACTTAGCTACATGAAGCTACATACAGAACAAACGTCTTCCAAAGTGGTTTTTTCTGTACTATTCTCGACATTCCGACTTTTGGATCTATGAGACAGAGCAGAATTCAGGAAATTCTGTGAGCAATGATTTATTAGGTTTAAAGCCTATGGACTACACAAAAGTCAATAAGGCTACATGTCGCCTCTACTATACCAACCAGGGATACTTTAATTCATAAAATAGGGAATTAATTAAACTATGTATATATAAATTGAGAGATATACACCATGATGTATATGTCTCCTGTTATCCTTGTTGGCTATTGGAGTTTAAAGCCTATCGACTACACTAGTCTTTAAGGCTGCACCTACCCTTCTTCACCACCAGACTAATTACTTTAATACGTATGAAGGATTAAAGCAAATTCTAAACATACATACAGTGAGAGAAATACACATCTCGGTGTATATATCCTTGGATGCGTTGCGAAATATGACATATTTGTGTTGGAAGACCTTAGCTGGAAAGACTTGACAGTAATATAGCTTCAAGACTAAGGTTATATTTGTATGTTCTATGCTTTCGTTGTATATGCCTTTGTTACTCACAAGTATGTAACCCCATTATGGGAACAATTGTGGACAATAACTGATCAGCTGCGTGCAGCCATTATGGTGTGCGCCTTCCATGAGTTGTGTCACATGTTATGCTCTGCGCCTCCCATGATTTGTTACCCACATGGAATGCCTTCTACGCTCCATAATTTGACAGACATATAGTTCAACGCATAAGGTCTAATTGTAATGTTCTATCCCTTATTTGTATCCAATGTTTGTTTACCCCACATATTTGTCAACCCCATGTATGCATCATAATTGTGTCACCAATAATGTTCTACACCCTCCTATTGCAGCCCATTATGTGTCACCTCCATAATTGTGTCCCCCACATGTAATGTTCTACACCTCCCATAATTTGTCACCCACATGTAATGTTCTACACCTCCCATAATTTGTCACCCACATGTAATGTTCTACACCTCCCATAATTTGTCACCCACATGTAATGTTCTACACCTCCCATAATTTGTCACCCACATGTAATGTTCTACACCTCCCATAATTTGTCACCCACATGTAATGTTCTACACCTCCCATAATTTGTCACCCACATGTAATGTTCTACACCTCCCATAATTTGTCACCCACATGTAATGTTCTACACCTCCCATAATTTGTCACCCACATGTTATGCTCTGCGCCTCCCATGATTTGTCACGTGCCATAATATATGGAGAATTAGAAATACATAGCTAGGAAGCAATGGAGTCAAGTTGGGCAAATTTAGATTTAGAAAGGAGCTGAATTCTTCTCCAGGCTGAGGGACTGACCACCTCAAACTATTTATCCAAGGTTGATGGACTGATTACATCATCTTTACCTCGCCACTACTCATGTTGCCTACAATCCACTCTGTATTTGACTGAAGAATCCTACCCCTCAAGGAAGGTTCCTTGATGTTGGTGAGGGGCTCTTGATTTAGGGAATTGGATCTGTGCTCCAGTTCCCCGAATTAAGCCTGACTGCCTTCCACATCCCCCCCCCCCGGGCGCTGTATAATCCTCCGGGTTTAGCGCTTCCCCCTTGATTATAATAATAATGAAGAATCCTACTGTGTAGGTGAAACATTTGAACAATAAAGATGCCTAACTGTTGCTGGTATTTTATATAATTTTCAATATAGATCTAACACCTGTTCTTCTCATGTGTTACTCCCATGGGTTACTCCCATGTTTTACTCCCATGTGTACTCCCATATCATGACCCAGTTCCCCCTACCCAGTACCTGACCTGACCTATCTCACGATCGCTGCCCCCCTACACCGGACCTGACCCAACCCCCCTTGACCTTTATCCTGGTTTCCCCTACCTCCTACATCTGACCTGACCCAACCCCCAACTTGACCTTTACCATGGTCCCAGGGGGAGGGAGGGAGGGGTGGGAGATTAAGATTCCTCCCCCCATTCCCTCTGACCTGGGTCCTTCTGGGATTCACTCTCACTCTTCCACATCATTTGTATTTTATTGACGGGGAAAAGCTAAACCCGTAGAGGGTGGGGGTGCAGCGCTTTAGACTGGGGAATAACCAGGCGTAATCCAAAGGGGGAGGGAGGACAGCTCAAGATCCTTGGATGAAGAGCCCTTCGCCGGCACCAAAGGACTGAGTTTTGCAGAAATTCGAAGTCCAGAGGTCTTGCAAACTACATTGATCAATGCAACAACATTGTAATATATTCTGTGAAGCACTACACCGTAATTGCTACTGAACACAATGTAGGCTCGATCCTCCGTCTGCCAGAAGAATAAATAATTACGTACTGGAAGTGTGGACGGCGTCAGATAGGATGTATATAAACCAGAGGGAGAGGAACTTGTCGGCCTGGACAGTCTTCAGGAGGGTATTATCCACCCTGGCGGTGTCGGGCACCACCAGGCGGCCCTCCACTGCAGCAGGGGTGAAGGTGGCACACCTGCAGGTGGTAACTAGCACCAGCAGCAGAAACACACTCCCGAGGCGAAAACTCAAAGACGACACCATGATGCTCACCCGAGGACCAACGACTGACTGGAGCTCGAGTGCCGCGCGCTCCTTCCTTATATAGAGTGGCGGGTGGCGGCGAAGGCAGTGGCGGCGGCGGCGGCCAATTGACGCCAAGGCCACAGCCTACCCTTAACACCGTTACCACAGCCACCACCACACTACCGATGCCACCACTACACTACCACTGCCACCACTACACTACCACTGCCACCACTACATTACCAGTGCCAACACCACACTACCACTGCCAACACCACACTACCACTGCCAACACCACACTGCCACTGCCAACACCACACTACCACTGCCAACACCACACTACCAACAGTACACTACGACAGCCACCACCACACTATCTGTGAAAAATTATTATTATTATTATTATTATTATTATTATTATTATTATTATTATTATTATTATTATTATTATTATTATTATTATTACTGCAAATCATCTGCAGGAGGCTTAAAGGGCCTTGCCTGAATTATTACCTGCAAGTAATTTGGGTGAGGTAAGTGGGACATAGTCACAGTAGGTCGTTGAACTGCAATTCCTTCGAATGCCCACTTCCTCACCACTCTCACAAAAAGCTAGACCTGACATTAAATTAGTATTAAAACCAGCTACTCTGATAATTAAAGTTATGTGGACTGTATGGTATTTTGGTTTACTTGCTGGGCACAAAAAATATTCAAATTAATATTTACCATTTAATTACTGTAGACGGATCACACCACAACACCTGTCTAATACCTAGACTCGACACTGGCCAGCTAGTGATCTAAATTCAATGACTAATGGTGCACTTCCCTATGAGTGATGTTGCATCCCTCATTTTTCGCCATCCACTCGTAATTCTTGAGGTCCCGCAAATTTTCTGTCCCAATTCTTCAGCAAGGGACATTAACACGGGTTCCTATTACAAATCCAGGCCAAAACACCCCATTATGGCCTCGATGATGCCGGATTATTAGACGATTGTAACAACCAGTGTACACACATTAAATTCAATATGGCGTCTTTTCTTGGCATCCCCAATAATAATAATAATAATAATAATAATATAATACCTTTATTTACTACAAGTACATGTACAAGGTATACAGGCCTAGCTGACATCAATGACATAGTACTATACAGAAAGCCGCTTGCTATGCTGAGCATTTCAGGATGATTAAGTCAGTTTTGTCCTAGAATGCCATCCACACCAGTCGACTAACATCCAGGTACCCATTTTACTGATGGCTGAACATAACAACCGGTGTAAGGAAACACATCCACTGTTTCCACCCCTTCTCCGGGAATCGAACCCGGACCCTCAGTGTGTGAAGCGAGAGTTTTTGCCACCAGGCCACGGGGCTGTACTACACCCCCTCCCTTAAAATTTCTCGAAGGGTCCAAATAGCATCACATTTTAATACGCAATTATTATATTATTCATTTATATGTTCTATATTTAGGAAATTATGAAAAAAAAATCCCACACTACTACTGCCACCACCACACTGCCACCACCACACTGCCACCACCACACTGCCACCACCACACTGCCACCACCACACTGCCACCACCACACTGCCACTACCACACTGCCACCACCACACTGCCACCACCACACTGCCACCACCACACTACCACTGCCACCACCACACTACCACTGCCACCACCACACTACCACTGTCACCACCACACTACCACTGCCAACACCACACTACCACTGCCAACACCACACTACCACTGCCACCACCACACTACCACTGCCACCACACTACCACCACTACACTACCAACACCACAATATCATCTGAGGTGTTCCTCAACAGGGTATCATCTACAACAGTGATTCCCAAAGTGGGCGGTACCGCCCCCCTTAGGGAATAGGAAAGATCCAGGGGGATGTTGAGGGAAAAGGGGGCGGTAGGGGGGGCGGCAGAGTGGCATCAGAACCAATGAAGAGTTTTACAAAAATCTGTATATAACACAAATGCTTTACAAAGAATAAAATTAACACATACACGAAAACATGGTGATGAACTAAGACACCAAATATGACTCTGTTTATTTGTCAGATGTATTCACAAAGTTCAAGGAAGTTAATTTATAATTGCAAGGAAATGATGTTAATCTTTTCGAAATCAAACCGGCCCTTTCCACTTTTCTGTCCAGGTTACAGTTATTTAAACGTAACATAACCCGACGTGAGGTCTTCCAGTTTCCGAGCCTCTCTGAATTGGAGAAGAGCATACCAGACGACGACCTTCAAGTGTATTGTGCACACCTGAATGAACTGCTTAGAGACATGTCTGACAGATTTCAGGATCTGTTTTTGCTTAAAATACCAAACTGGGTGATCAATCCATTCCTATATATCAGCAATGAGGAATCAGGAATGGTGGAGGAAGAACTGTTTTGACTGCAAAATGACACTGAGCTGAGGCCAAAGATCAAAAAATCACATCAAGATTTTTGGTTACAAAAAAAATTGTGACCTCTATTCTGCACTGTGGAACAAAGCCAACATATACTTTATTGCCTTACCAACATCAAATTTAATAGAGCAAGGCTTCAGTGCAGTCATCATGCTTCTTTCCAAGCAAAGAAACAGACTGAAAATCACTAAATGCGGGATCTAAGACTTCTTCCTAGTGCCTTCAAGACTGATGTTGAGAAGCTGATGGTCCTGCACCAAGCACATCCATCTTATTAAAATTGTGAAGACAATGTACTTACAGATAAGATGCAAATTTCCCTTTCTCATTAGATAAACTGGCTTATTATGTTAATTTTTATTTGTTTATGGTGTTAGATTAGTTGTTGTTTTGAATTTGCAGTAAACCTAATACCAAGAAAGAGATGTGATGGTATGTGTGTGGAAAAGGGGGCGCTAGGGATGTGGCCTGGGAGCCAAGGGGGCGGCAACCTGAAAAAGTTTGTGAATCACTGTTCTATAGTAAGTGCTTGTCTAACAAACCATGGCTAACCGACGGTCTAGAATTCTGAGACTCTCTGACCGCGGGTTCAACCCCCACCCGTGGTATGGTTTGTTTGCAACCGTGTCATTACGATTTCGTGAGTCAAGTGCTTGTCTGGTAAATCTAAGATTACGTTTCAGAAATCTCACATGGAGTCATTCACGAAACACGTAACAGCCTGGTTAATCAGGCCCTGAGCAACCGTGAGACCTGGTCATAGACAGGGCCGCGGGGGCATTGACCCTTAAAATCCTCTCCAGGTATACTACACAACGTATGACGCATATCAGACTCATCTTAGAGTATGCAGCACCAGTATGAAACCCACAACTGATCAAGAATATCAAGAAACTGGAAAAAATGCAAAAATTTGCAATTGAACTAGTCGCAGAGCTAAGGGGTATGAGCTATGAAATACAAAGAGCGCTAAACCTGATGACATTAGAGGACAGAAGGACCAAGGGTGACATAACGTGCAAAATACTGACACTGAGAGGAGCTGATTGGGCGGACAGGGACTGATTTCGAGAAAGGAAAATCAAGTACACAGAGCACAGCTGTAAGTCGAAGACACAGACATATGATAGGAATGTTAGGAAACTTTCTTCTGTGTCCTTGTAATGTTTTAACGGCTTGACAAAGCTCCTGGAGAGCGAAACGTTACCACAATAAAATGTCACATTACTTACATCCATGTTTCCTAAAGACATTTGCTATCTCTGTTCACCTAGCAGTGAAATAGGTACCTGAGTGTTAGTCGACTGGTGTGGGTCACATTCTGGGGACAAAACTAACCTAATTTGCCCGAAATGCTCAGCATAACAAAGGGCTTTCTATATAGTAGTGTCCCATTAATGTCAGCTAGGACTGTATACCTTGTACATGTACTTGCAGAATAAAGATTATCATTATTGTTATTAATCTGCGACAATAAGAAGAATACGAATTAGAAGAGTTAACTTAGTGTTTCGTCCCCTGTGTGGGACCCATGGTTTATAATTATTATTATATGTATATAATATCCTTTTTCACTTAATATTATGTAGCTGATATCTTTGTTAGTAGCTAAAGTGAAGATAATTTGCTTTATATTATTATCTGACCCTATATTATTAGCTATGTTAATAGGTAGGACGTGTGTTGAATTATGTTGGAAACAGCCTTTGCTAACTACAGTAAGATTGTTAGGGTCAGTCGGTCTCTCTGGGATGTCCCATGAACCGACTTGAGGTAAGTCTTGGAGGCGTCGCCTGAGTGAGTCCCTGCCTGCCTCTAGCCCAGGAACATCTCACTCTCCTCTGAATGTTTAATTAGGCTCGAGTTTGAGTAGGTTTCGTTGGTGAGCCGGAACCTGTTTCTCGCTACTCTGAGTATCCGTGAACAGTTATTCCCAGACATAATGATTTTGATATTGACTCAGGTTGTGGTTCTTTCTGACGTTCTAAAGTATGGTTGCTGTATTACCATTGTCCAGAATTGTGTTGGGCCGAACTTAGACTCAGCATGAAGGTTTGTGGTACGACTTGAAGATCTCTGTTGGGTTTAATAAATTTATTTTTGTTCCTGCTCTGTTGTGACTGTTATATTCTGATGTTTCGACATATATCTTTATCTATGTGTCAGCTCTTCCTTTGTAGGGAACTATAGATGAAACAATATATTATTCGAAGAATTATGATTAATCTTGTTTGGGCTTGATTACGAGTCTAGCCACGTCAAGGCATTACTTGTATTTGAAAATTACTGAAACTATCATATATATAAATTATGTAAGATTTGTATCTACAAGAATATCATTGTAGTAAAGTATTCTCGAAGTTGTACTCTTAAGTCAAGTGCCTTCAGCACTAGTACCAAGAGCAGTACTCAACAAGAGAGAGAAAAGCTTTGTATCACACTGCTGTATAGTCCTTGTGGCTTAGCGCTTCTTTTTGATTATAATAATAATAATAATTTGTATCACACTCCGTGTAGTATTTATCTTTTTAGACAGTTTTATATTAAAGATATTAAGTTTTATCTTGTCGGATCATTGCCTCCTAGTTGTAATCCCAAATTTCTAGAATCCTGAT